TCTGGGGTAAAGATGGAACAAGTATTACTGAAGGTTATATAATGTCTCTTCCACAGTAGTTGATTTTTTGAGGGGAGGTGGGAGTGTTAAATTTTTTTTTCCCCTAGGTAATTTGCAGTAAAAAATGCACCCATAACCAAACTTCATTTTTCACTAGTTGGGCTCTTTACCTACTAGTCTTGATAGCTGCTATATTTGCAATTAAAAAAACCAAAACCAACACCCACCTAAATGCCCACATAAAATACTCAACCTTGTGAAGCTGCTGCCATAGTAACTATACAGTAGAGTTATATTGAAAGAGTACACGCATTCAAGGTTTGTCATTTGCACTGCTATGGAAATTAGAAGAGTGGGGTGCTGGAGGAATCTTTCCTTCCTTTCAAATACATCCTATTCACTCTATGCTTAAGAAGTCTAATGTCATGCATTTTTTTTTTTAATTGGAAAATGCTCTCAAGAAGGCACAGTTTGTGCTAAACCTAAAAGGTTCTTAAGAATAGACAGTGATGATGCAGTACTGGTTTAAAAAGGAAAAAAAGGTTACTTTTGAAATAGTTTGTGTTTAAAATCTCTTAACTACCAAAAAAATCAGTCTTAAATGTATGTATAGTAACTGGTTTATACATAACATATACTAAGATTTTTTTGAGGTTTTTTTGTGAACACATTAATTTACCTATATAGAAATATATTTATGGAAGGTGCTGCTTTTTTGATCAGTCATTTTTATTTGAGCAGTCCAATTTCAAATATTTTTGAGATTTCTAATTTAAATGCTTTGTTAGCAAGGACATGACAACTTGGAAAGTAAATAGTTTCTTTTTCTCTGACATTTTTGAGAGAGAGACAATTTTCCAAAAGATTGACTAGACTGTCAGAAAAATATCTGCATTCCAAGCTTATGCCTAGCTTCTCTTAGGTCATCTGAATACTTAACTTTTCTATCTGAAAGTTTATTAGTGGTTTGGGGTTTTTTTTGTTGTTTTTTTTTTCCCAAAAATTGATTTATGTGTGTGTGTTATGTTTTTGGGATTTTTTTAATACTTCCCTGACTATTTTAAAAAGGAGGAGTACTCTTGGTCAGTAATCAATATACTGTAATATAAGGTTCTTCTGATATGTCAGCATATTTCCTTCTTGTAAGTTCTGAGTCATTAAATGGATAATAGGTCACCAGATGAATTACAGCTTCTATTTTAAGTTATATTGAGGGGGAAAAAAAAAAGCTGAGAGTACTGGAGTAGAAATGTAACAGTTATTGTTCAATGTGTAACAGGGCGCTTTGAAGAGGAATTTATCAAAATGCGTATGGAGAGACTGCAAGCTTGGATGACGAGGATGTGTCGCCATCCTGTTGTCTCAGAAAGTGAAGTTTTCCAGCAGTTTCTCAATTTCCGAGATGAGAAGGTAGGAAATAAAGGTCACGCACAGACTAAGACTGAAGAATTGCTCCCTGCCCTCACCATTCCCTTTGAACTGAGAGTTCAGCCTTGTAGCCTCCATGTGTCTGCCCCACTGTGGGCAGTAGTGACAAGCCAAAATCTGCTGGGTTTGTTAACTGAGCTGATTGATCAAAATTAGGCATAAAGTTGCTTGTGTGAAATGCTATATGCCATTCCAACAGGGATGTGCTCTTTAAAGTAGCTTTGTTGCTAGTCTCTTCAGGACCGTTTGTGTCCTCCAGCAGAAGAGGAACAATTATAACAACTCTTTAGGCTGTGCCCTGCTCTGTCTCTATTGGATTTGTTAATCACTGTGGTCCTCTGATACTGCCTTACTAACAGAAGCTACTTTGTAGCAGATATAGGATGCATCTAATCCTGTATTATGTTTAAAAACACACACACCCACACACCACCTCCTTACTCCCCCCCCCCCAAAAAAAAACCCCACAATTTTCACTAGAATAAGTTGCGATAGCATTATGCTGCAGTCTTACCTGGTATAACCAGACCTTTTTTTATTCCCCGGCTTCCCCCTGCCCCCAGCATTTTCTTATGCCTTTTTTAAGAGGTTTTAATATCTTCACCTACAGTAAATAACATTTTCTTCATGACTGAGCTCCAGTTCTGTTACTGATTTTGGGATCTATTGATGAGGAAATAAACAGGGAAACTCTGCTGCTTTCTCCTCAAAACAGTCTTACTTCTGAACTCACACAGATTTTGCTAAAAAAGTAAATCAACCCTGAAGGATTTTAAGACCAGGGTGGATAAAGCTGTGAGTAACTAAGGTCACGTATGATCATTTTTGAGTAGAAGGTTAGACTACAAACCTGAGGTCACTTCCAACCAGAATTATTCTGTGATCCTGTACGTAGAGGCTTAGCAACTAGTAATCTCAGTAAAGTGCTATTTGGATGGCCAGTGGAGAGTTGAATAGTTGTGCTAGCTAGTCAGCAGTTCTTAGTATGTAACCTATGAACTGATACAAACAGAATAGATGTTGCAATAGATGTGGAATTTCTAGCTCTATCTTTTAACACTAAGAACTTATGATAGAAATTGCGTAATAGTCTTATGATTTTCTTAAGTAGCTTTTGATACCAGCGCTATTACATATACAGAGACAGCTTGAATATAATTGCACCTACACTGTATTTCAGTAATATATAAGAAAGGTCTGATGACCCCAGAGTCTAGAAAACAAAGTGCACAAGGAGGACAAATGGGAAGGCTTTAAGAAACCTTGGCTCTGACGAAACTTTCATTTAAAAGGTTTTAATTTCTGGGTGGTCTATTGGATAACTCTTCTCAACATTTCATTTACTGCTTAAGTACATGCATGAACAGTGGTGGTTGAACTTTGAGGTTTTTGTTTGTTTGGGGTTTTTTTTTCCTTCTTAAGGAGTGGAAAACTGGAAAGCGGAAGGCAGAAAAAGATGAAACTGTGGGAGTCCTGATCTTTTCCACAATGGAACCAGAAGCTCCTGACTTGGACATGGTAGAAATGTAAGGTGGTCTCTTTTTGCATGGACATTATGCATGTGGATATACAACAGGTATCAAGCTAATAAAAAACTAGAATAGTAAGCGTGCACATACATTCACGGATTTGAAGAGGTATTTGTCAAGGCAGAGCTGAAAAATTGTTTGAATGTGAGATTTTCATATCAATTCTTCCGAAATTTGGTGTAATTCCATGTGATGCCACTTGACTTCAGTGACTGAATACTGATATTAAAACAATTTATACGAAACTAGTAGAAGAGACAGTACTGGCAGATCCTATGGAGTGTTATTTTATATTGGTATGGAAGTATATTTTGATCTTTAATCCTTCAACTGTAAACACTTCCAAAGTGCGCTAGACTTACTAAGTAGCTTGGGATAACTATAGGTAGACCATCAAAGAAAACAATGCTTCTGTAAAATACTTGTATATAATGCACACAGAGTAGGATTCTAATATCTGGAATCCATGGAAAGCTATTAAAAAATTATCAAATCTCATTTTAATTGGGTTTTCAACATTTTTGGAGTTTTCATCTGGAAGTTTTTATGTATAGTTCTCTCAATGGTACACCTTTTGGCTTCATAGAGTGAAAGACTGGATTTACTCTGCAGCCTTTATTTCACTCCTTTAGGCTTAGTCATTGTTTTCTTAGAAGGTATGTAGTATGCATGACGTGCTTTGCTTGTTGCTGTAGAACATAGAAACTTGGATAATGGTTTGTGTCTGAAGCTGTGAGTAAACTAGATTGAAGAGCTTGTAGTAGCAAAGCCGTAGTGTACCTACACCTGGAAATGTCCCAGCATAGGCTTTATCCAAGTGATGCAGTGCATATTAAGATGGATATAATAGGTTTGTAGTAGCAGTTCTGGTAAAAAAGATGGACTTTTTTAGGTCACTTCCACTTCAAACGTGAGAATTTCGAACTTGACTATTTTTCTGAAATGATGGATGTCGTATATCCCAGTGGTGTAATAGCTGAAGGAGTGAAATAGAGCATTTTGTACATAGGGTGCAGCAGAGAGTGAGACTAGACTGTCTTTTATACAGAACCCTGGCAGGGAACAGCCAGCATATGGTCTGCTGAACATTTTGTCCCCAAACAGTGAGGGGTAGGCAAGCAGCTTGCATGGAGCACTCACCAGAGGGTACTGTCTCCTGATCTGGGGCTTGGCAAGCTGGGGTTGTTCTGGGGATCTATCTCCAAGCATTGCAAGAGTGGCTGTAACACCTCAGACGTCCATGTCAGTGGCATTCTAGTGCCTGGGAATGTCTCAGGGTGCTGGTAAAAGTCTGTATGAACACAGTTTTGAAAGCCATGTTAGTTCTGGAAGTGGACAAACCAGCTTGTTGAATAATTCTTTGGTTCTTCAGGGCTGCTGCACTGGCTCTTGGGAGTCACTTAGGTTGCCTTGCTGTTGAGAGCTGTCTCACACAGGCTTTGACTGAGAGTATTTTTAAGATCTGATACAGTTTGAGTAATTCTTATTGAGAATTGGAAAATATGTGTCTGTTTTTCTTCTGTGGAGTTCACAGAGCATTGCTGTATATGCAGTGCTGTGTTAATGGAAAGCTTTGATAGCTGCATGAAAACATGCTTAAAGAGGGGTAAAAATTCAGAATTCTCTCCTGAATATCACTTCTTTTTTTCCTCTCTGTGACACAAGTGAACACACAGTATTATCTATAAGTTATGCATACGTATTTCCCTAGAGGAACTGCTATATTAATTTTTATTTGCCTATTTTAGGCTCTTAATAAAGTATCTGGAACATTTTTCTTTGTATTTGTTCATTGTTGTAAGAATTTTGCTACATCTGTTACTCTAACATCTAGTTTCATATCAATGTGGGGTTCTTCTATTTAAGTGCTCTAGGGATGCATTTTCCTCGAATTAGTTTTTCCTGTTGTGTTGTTTTATCTCACTAGGGAGGATATTTGGCTAGGAGCTTTATTTTGAGAGTAACTATAGCAAGGGTGGTAGTCCAGTACCATGTGTTTAACAGAATGGGGGGGAAATAGAATGAAAATTGCCTATATCTAAAGAAGGAAATTCTGACATAAGTGAAATGGCAGAGATTTCAAGGAATTCATTTATTTCCCTAATTATTTTTTTTAAGACCTAGGTGACACTACTAAACATTTCAGAATTGTGTTCAAAGCTGGCATAATGCATCTGTTTAACTGCTTTTTGTTTTTGCTTTTTCCAAATGCCACAGAGAACAGAAATGTGATGCAGTGGGTAGGTTCACCAAAGCAATGGATGATGGAGTTAGAGAGCTGCTGACAGTGGGACAAGAGCACTGGAAGAGGTGTACAGGGCGTAAGTGTCCCTTCTGAACTAAGCAGTCATTTCTGTGTTGCTTTTCTCTGGTGGTGACATTTATAATTCAAGGCACCTTTTTAAAGCTAAAGGAAATCCTAAATTATCATGAGACTTGTGTGGCATTCTGGTTGCTTTCAATGTCTGAGATTATAAATTGTGCAAGTTTTTTGTTGATGTTTTTGATTGGGGTGGTTTTTTTTTCTCTCATAACAGAAATATCTGGTCCCTGCCCATAGCATTAAAAATATTCAATCATTCTAGTAATCCAGCTAAAGCCTTTGTTGAACATGTTCTCATATATTAGTCATTTATCTACATTTCAGTGACATGGGTAAAGTATACCTATCCAATGAAATCATGAATGATTGCATTTTATTAACCCCTTATTTAGAGATTCTTGCATGCCAGGAGGAGTGATTTAAAAATTACATGAATTAAAAAAAAAAAAAATAGAGAAAAGAAAAACCTACCTGATTCTAACTTAATCTTTAGCCCAATTCTTTTTCTCCTATCTTCTCTTCCTTCCCACAGATATTTAGGGTTGCAGAACTTCACACCAAGTCCCTATGACTCTGCCTGGGCTCTAATTTCCTAGTCCACAGCAGTATTCAGTGTTTGTGGCCACCACAAGGCAGCTATTGAAAGGAAGCAGGTATTACAGCTGAGGATCATAATAAGAAACACTTCAGTGCAGGCTGTAGTGTCTGGTGACTAAAGACCTATCACATAAATCTCCTCAAAGCTCCTCCATTTTTTTCCTTTGGTGTTGTTTTTGGTTCTGGTTTTGTTTTTTTTTTTTTTTTTTGTTTTTTTTTGTTGTTGTTTTTTTGGTTTTTTTGGTTTTTTTTTTTCTCATTTTAACTCCTGCAAAAGAGAAAAAACACGTTGTCCCCAGACTTGGGAGTACATACATCTGAGTTATCTCTTTGCTGCTTTCTAATCTATCACTGTAGTTGAATATCTGCAGCTAACCAGAGGGAGTAGGAAGTATGGAAGTCCAGTCTCTTCTGGTAGTGATTACATTGGACCTTAGCTTCTGTAGGATGTGAACTTTAAATTATTTATGTTTCACTGCTTTGAATAAAGAGGGTTTCCTTCTACATGTCACTGACCTTACTGCTGGTCAAAAATAGTCTATCACGGGGCACAGCTTTAACACTGTGGAGATCTCACTTCACTAGGAAATAGTACTGAGGGGAAAGTAATAAGGTCATGTAGGTGAGACTAGAAAAATAGTATTGCTTTGCACTTACAGAAACAGTGATCAAAACTACAGTAGTTAAGGACTTGCTGTGACTCGTGCTTACAGAAAGGAAGTCAGTATTCTGTTCACTCCTAAAATCTCCCTAAACTTACAACACTAGTGCTTTGGGTATAGAATGAATGACTCTTTTAATACTTAAAGTTATTAGTTAACATAAATGTAGTAAGACATGTGATTGTGCTAAAAAATTTTAACTTTTAACTTTCCAGACATTCATACTGAATAGAAAAGTAGACTGGTAAATCGGGACAGGCAAACCTGAAGATTTTCAGTAGTCTCTTAGGTTTTAAGTTCCCTGTCAGCCCTAGTCCCAGCTTTTAGTCAGAGTATTCTTGGCACTTTTTGAGCAATAGTTATGTGTGTTACATTCTATGATATTTAAAGTGTCTGACAGTGGAAACATCTTAAATGCAAAGGAAAAGAAACCAAATGTGCTTTGCTGAAGTTTCCACAAGGGATTCAGTAACAAGTTAATGGCTGATAACAAAACCCTAGTACTCTGAATGGTACCTGTTGTATAAGAAATACTAGTTGTCATAAATAACCTAGCTTCTGGGCAAAAACTTGCTCAAGGATAATCAATAAAATTATGTGGTTTGGGGGGGGGTTGGTTTGGAAGTTTTGTTTTCTGTGGTGTGGTTTTTTGTTTGGTGGTGGCTTTTTTGGGCTGTTTTTTTGTTGTTTGGTTTTTTTGGGGGGTTTGGTTTGTTTTTTTTTGTTCCTCTGTGAAGTTCATATTGTGTGGGATTACACAAAAATCTGCTGGTTACCTGGGCAGTGTACTCTCTGAGTACAAATATTTGACAACAAAAAGCACATCTACTTGTGGGTTTGTGTCTTTTCTGCTAGCATAGATAGCTTATAAAGAGTTGCTTTTGCTTTTGAGATTGCTGTTTAGGCCTCTGGGGTGATGGTATTCAAAGTGGTAATGAATACATTCAAAAATCACAGCTCATTGACTTCATTGTGAGGAAGCAATTTATGCATACATTTTCAATAAATAGAGTATTAAACACGATTTTATTATTCAGATGCTTGCATCAATTTTTATCCCTAGATAATTTTGGCTTCTAGTGCCTTTAAATAAAAAAATCCATGATTTGAGGAGAGTTTAGGTATTATAGGTCTGTATAATAATCTCCTTCCTTAAAATATTAATGAGATCTAGTCTACATATCGCTGCAGCATTTCCCCACTGGAGGATAAATTCTGCTCATGAGGGGGAGAAAAACACCTCACTGTATGCATAGGAGGACCGAGCTATGAGTACAGTGAGATTTTTTCTTTTTATAGCAGTCAAAAAAAACTCTTTGTGGCTTTCAAGAGTCTGGATTGCAATTGCTTTATCCAGTTTTAAAACATCTGTAGCAGGGGAGGGGGTAAGAATGTGATTGTAAATGCTTCACTAAAGGAAATGTAAAACTTTGTTGGTTTTTGACACCTGCTTCTGTCAAGTTTTGGAAATGCTACAGATTTAGTCTCACTTACCCTTGTGGGTTTTTTCTTCTGTTTCCCTCTCTTCCCCATCCTTTCCCACTTCTAGCACTACCCAAGGAATACCAGAAGATAGGAAAAGCATTGCAGAGCCTGGCACTGGTCTTCAGCACTAGTGGATACCAAGGTACTTCTATAGCTTCATTTGGACTTCACTTAAGATACTTTGATTACATCGTTCTACATTTTTAAGAGTTATTAATGCTTCCCTTTTTGAACTTTAGATATCAAACATGATTCTGGAAAAAATATTAAAAACTTGCTTCCCTGTGTATATTATAGGGTTTTTTATGTTTTAGCCTGCAATCTTGTTTTCTCTCACTGTGTAGTCAGGTTGCAGGTTGGTGGTGGTGGAGGAGTTTAGCTGGATCTCATTAATATATAATCTGATCACTGGCCTGACTGACAGAACATGCTGTAACTGTAGCATTCTTTGTGAGATCAAAGGAAAGGGGAGAAAATGTGGCCTTGAAAATATCTGTCACAGAACTATCGTGTGACTTAATGAAAACAACAACTCCACATGAATGGAAAACTTATTACAAGATTCTTGTATACCATTATGTGGGCTGGAGAATTGGCTACTGTAGCCTTTTCTTGTCCTTTACTTTTTTTTCTCCTTCAAGAGCTGAAAAATAGAGCCTGTCATGTTAGGTATGAAAGTCGTGGGAAGGAAAAGGAGGGCATCAGTTGCTCAAAGTTCTCCTAAGATGTAGTCTTTAGGCCAGACTTAAAATTCTGCTTTGATATGTTAAGTTCTGCTGATGTTTTCCAGATAACTGGAAAGTATTTATTTGTATCCCAGGGGTAGCTTATTGAGTCCATTTTCTCTGGGATTTTCTTATCAAATGTAATTTTTCCCTTAGACTTAATAGCAAAATTGCTCTGTTATTAAACCTTAAATATTACAGCATAGAGACTTCCTGGAATGTTTCCATCTTAAGACTTCTAGCAGACCGGTACTTACTCTCTCACTACTCATCTATCTATCGCTTTGTACTCTTAAGGCTTTTTACCCCATACACCATGTGTTAAAATGCAACCACTTCAACTCAGGTTCTCTGCTGCTGGAAACATGGGACATATTCTCATCTTTGTCCTGTACTTCAACAGGACAACTGCTTAGTTAGAATTGGAGCATATTATATTGCCAGAAAAGTTACTTTTGGGTGTGAGAACCAAGTAGGGGATTTGCATAGTTATGTTCTCTTATCAGGGGTTGAAAACCCATAAATCCTAGCTAGATACAATCTGTTGCAAGAATTCTTGAGAAAGCATTGAAAATTGCTTGAACTATAACACACATTCTTTTGCCAGGTGTCCTGGGTTCAGCTACAGCA